TTTTAATTTTTTATTTTATCAGATTTTCTCTTGAACGGCTTTCAAAGGATCAAAACTCTCAGATCAACCAGATGATGTCAAATCCATCCCATAATTTATAGCACAACATGTAAAATGTATGTTTTCATCCAGTTAAAAACCTGCCAGATCACTGACACCTGGAGAACTCATCCACTCATTCACTCATTCATTCATTCATTGATTCACTCTTTCACTCTTTGATGGCGGCCTGAGCGTCTGTTTGTGTCGTCCTGGCGACCAGCTGGACTGGGTTTGATTGACAGCTGTCAGACAGGTGACAGGTGTGGAGCCTGAAACAGAACCAGAGTTTTTACAGCTGCTCAGCAGACTGAAGCTGAACGGTACCACGAAGCAGCACCGAGCAGGAGGACGGGCAGAACCATCACAGGTTGAAATGATCATAGCGTTGAGGTCATGTGATCGTAGAGTTGGGGTCATGTGATCATTGGTTGGGGTCATGTGATCATTGGTTGGGGTCATGTGATCGTAGAGTTGGGGTCATGTGATCATTGGTTGGGGTCATGTGATTTACAGATGTGTCTTTGTGTTTGTTTTGTGTCTCTTCCTCGTTATTTTCTGGATTGTTTTGTTCTTTTTACGTCTTTTTGTGTTAGTTTTGCATCTTTTAGTTGTCGGTTCTCGTCCTTTTGTGTCGCTTTGTGTCTGTTTTGTGTTTGTTGTGTGTCTGTTTTGTGTNGTTGTGTGTCTGTTTTGTGTTCGTTGTGTGTCTGTTTTGTGTTCGTTGTGTGTGCTGTGAGGCTATTTGACGCCTTCTTGTGTTCACTTTTGGTCTCTTTGTGTTAGTTTTGCATCTTTCTGCTCATTTTGTGTCTTTGTGTTTGTTTAGCGACTTTGTGATGCCACTTTCTGTCATTTTTTTGTGTCTCTTTGTGGTTGTTTTGCATATTTTTGTGCGTGTTTTTTTGCAACTTTTTGAGGCCATTTTGTGTTGTTTTGTGTTCTTTTTCCATGTTTTGTGGTTGTCTCACGTCTTGTTGGGGTCATTTTGTGTTCTTTGTAGTGATTTTGCATGTTTTTGTCGTCATTTTGTGTCTCTTTGTGTTTCTTGGCACTTTCTGTGATCATTTTGTGTCTCTTCAGAGTAGTTTTTCGTCTCCTTTTTTACTTTGTTGTGCGTCTCTTGTGGCCATTTCACAGGTTGTTGTGGTGATTTTGTGTCTCTGTTCTGTGACTTTATGTTGTCGCCTCTCATCATCTTGTCTTCATCTTGTGGGTTGTTTGTGTTTGTTCTGCCTGGTCCAGTGTGTGTCTGCCCTCTCTGTGTTGGTTCTGTGTGTCTGCCCTCTCTGTGTTGGTTCTGTGTGTGTCTGCGTTCCCTCCTGTGAGGTTCTGACGTCCTCTGTGGGAGTCGGAGCTCAAACTTTGTTCTGCTTCGTTTCCGTTCAGAGTTTTTTGACCTCGACGGGAAGAAAAACAGCAACTCTGCCAACAGCGACTGGAGCTGAATGTCAAACAGACGCTGGTTCTGGTTCTGTAAACAAGCTGCTGCTGGTTCTGGTTCCGGAACAACAAGCTGCTGCTGGTCCTGGTTCTGTCAACAAGCTGCTGCTCGTTCTGGTTCTGGTTCTTAACGTTGTCCTCTTGCTGTCTCCTCAGGTCCAGGTCTCGTCTCAGAGGCTCCTCCCCTCCCGGCGGCGCCGTCGGGCCGTGGTTCTGACGGGCCGACACCCGGTCTCGGACACCGAGGTCCAGCTGTACCAGCGGGTTCTGCAGCAGATGGGTTTTGAGGTCCAGATGTCCAGATACGCAGAAACCAGCAGCTTCCTGAAGCCGGGTCAGTAAAGGCTGCGGTGCCTTCAGGGGCCGCAGGAGAACCCGGTCCATCAGAACTTTATCTGTCGGCAGCAGGTCCACATCCAGTCAGGAAGAGACGGGTCCACACTGAACCCCCTCACAGTAATCAGATTACTTCTAACAGTAGAGTACCAGCAGGAAGTAGAGTCAGTTTGATCACCAAGAACGTGTTCAGGTCAGAGTTTGGACCCGGTTCTAGTCATTCTGATGAAGCTTCAAGTCATCCTGGATGCTTTTGTACCATTTTAAACCATTTTTAGTCATTTTGTTCAAAGCTTGAGTCATTTGAAGGAGTTTCAGGTCATTTTTGGACAAACTTCAAAGCATTCTGGACAGTTTGTTGTTATTTAGGACGAAGGAGTCATTTATACCAACTTACAGTTTAAATCTGGACCATTTCTGCACAACTTTTGTGTACTTTTGAAAGCGTTGTGAGTCATTTTAGACAAATGTCCAGTTATTTTGGACTTTTGTTGTGTCATTTTGGACAAAGTTCAATGAAGTTGGGACAGGTTTGAGTTATTTTGGAGCTTTTTTTTTTTTCTTGTTTTCGTCCAGTTTCACTTTGATATGTTTGGAGTTTATAAGTTTGAAGACTTTCTGGATAAAGTTTAAGACATTCTGGGACCACGCTGACTAATGTTTGACCCGTTTACTTGTTCTGGACACCTTTAAAGTGCTTTTGGATGAGTTTCAAGTCCTGCTAGACTCATACTGACTCGTTTGGGGACCAACTGTAGTCATGTTGGACACATGTTGAGTCATTTCGATAATTATTTTCTGCTTGTCTTCGGCTAATTTTGAGCCATGTTGGACATCAGATGTTTCTTCTCCTCTGTTCAGGTCTTCTCCATGTGGAGCCATGATGTAGACATAGATAGACACAGTCCAGAGGTCCAGAACCGAGAAGGTTCTGCTGCTCTCAGCTCGTTGTAGAACCATGTTCATGCAGGTGGACTGATGGAAACCACAGCTGGACTCAGTCTGAGTTTCTACTCTGGATTTGAAATCTAGTCGTTATAAAGTGTTTGTTTTGTTGATTCTTCAAGAGATTAAATCCTCCACAGTAATCTGATTACTGTAGGGAAGCAGTCTTTATTTCTGCGCGAACAGCTCGTGTCTCTCAGTGAAACGTTCTGAGCGTTTCTGAAGCAGCTTTCAGACGTAAACAGACTCGGTGTGGTGGACGTCCTGGTTCTGCTGAGGTGGGTTCAGCTCCAGACGGAGCAGAGGTCAGTGTTTCTGGGTGGAGACTTCCTGACAGCAGCTGGAAACACTGACTGTTTGTGTGAAACCTGTGAAGCTGTAAAACCTCCGCAGCGGAATGTAAACATCTGAAACACCGCGACGGTCCGGCCCGTTTCGCTGTAAACTCCCTGATCTGGAGGGAATCACTGGAGTTCTGTGTTCTGATCCGACCGTCCGTCTTTCTTTTCTCTGAGCTGGAAGGACCAGAACAGTCCAGAAACCGCAGCAGAGCGCTTCCTGTGAGCTCCACAATCACTTCCACATGTTTCTCCATATTTGGCCGGCGGTTCTCCCTCTGCTGCTGAGTTCTCCGCTCAGGACTCACATTCCTGCTGTTTCTGCAGAGAGACGGATCCCCGAACCCGACGTTCTGCTGAACGAGTCGGATTCTAATGAAACCGCAGCGCCTCTTTAGAGCCGATCTGTTCAGTCAAAGGAAATGCTGTCTGTAGATGTTTTAGATCGACAAGTAAACAAACAAATACACAAAATGTAATTATTAAAAAATTCATTAATGTTGTTTGAACTTCTGAAAATGATAAAATAATAATAAGGTCACGTTAATTCAAAATATGACTTTTATTTTGCAACTTCCTGGTTGTCTCCATAGCTACAGGTGTAACTTCCTGTCTGTCTCCATGGTTACGAGTGTGACTTCCTGCTGTGTCTCCATGGTTACAGTTCTAACTTCCTGTCTGTCTGTCTCCATGGCTACAGCTGTGACTTCCTGTCTGTCTCCATGGCTACAGCTGTGACTTCCTGCCTGTTTCCATGGCTACAGGTGTAACTTCCTGTCTGTCTCCACGGTTACAGGTGCGGGTGGGTGGAGCCTCTTGCTGTGTCTCAGCAGCTCGGAGCAGAGCTGTCTGAGGAGGATCTCCTTCTCTCACCTGCAGCGTCATCAGACGGTGAGACTCACCTGTCCTGTCCTGTCCTGTCCTGTCTCACCTGCTGAGTGACATCACAGCTCACCTGTGTGTTGGTGTCTGTCCTCAGGTGAACCTGCTGCCTGGTCTGATGGAGGCGTTTTCCGACGCAGGTGGAGGTCTCTGCCGCTTCCTCGCCGACGCTCAGCTGACAGGTGAGTGTGTGCAGGTAAATCCACGGGAAGGGGCGGAGCCAACGTCCTGAGTATTTGTCCAGGTGAATGAAGGATCTCGGGTCAGCTGATGTTTTTATGTAAACATCAAACCAGAACATCAGGAAGCTGATTAACTCAAATTAATTTAGAAAATCTGATAATTTACACGTAATAAAATGAACTGAGGTCACATGATCGGTGTTCGTCCAATCAGCTGACAGGATGTTTTTACTCTATTTCATATTTAATTTGATGTAAAGCAGCTGTTTGTTTGTTTGTTTGTTTGTTTGTTTGTCCACCTCAGGCTCTGACTTACCCATGAGGCCGCACTCCTGTGGACCGACCAATCAGAAGCTGCAGATTCCTCCCAACAGGTGAGACTCTGATCAGACACCTGGACCTCAGCGTCTGACTCTCACCTGGTCTGGAACCACAACTCTGTCAGACATCAGCTATTGATCGATGGTGTGTTCCGGTTCTGGTTCTGATCCGTCTGCTCTGTTTCTCTGACAGCGGCTCACCTGCCAAAGCCCCGCCCCCTGCTCTGGTTGCCACGGTGAATGTTTATGTCCTGGTGACCTCGGTGACCCCGCTGACCTCCTTCCTGCACGACATCAGCGTGGTGACGACCAATCAGCAGCCGAGGGGTCGACCTGTGAAGGTGAGTCGCCTGTAACCTGTTTGTTTGTTTGTTTGTTTGTTGTTTACCTGCCGTTCAACCCTTCGTCCTGCTCGTCCTGCTCTCAGCTTGGCGACTTCCTGCTGCAGCAGCTCGGACCGGCGACCTCCCATCAGGCCTTGGAGCAGGTGAAGCAGGTGATAGGCGAGGTGCTGCAGGCGGCGGCAGCCAATGAGAAGCAGCGAACGGTCGGCAGGTGAGTTGTGGTTCCGTCACAGCTTCAGAACAAATAAAACACCGGAAAGTATGTTTATATTTCAAAGTGTGTTTCTTTCTGATTTGTTAAATTATGGAAAATTACTAAAACCACAGAAAAAAAATTACAGATAATCTCTAGTAAAATCTAAAAAGTGTAAACTTACATGTTAGCTGTAAAAAACAAAACAAACAAACAAAAAACAGCTTAAAACAAAGAAACCTCAAAACTTAAAATAAATGCATTTTACAAATACTGATTTGTTTTTTTTTAAACTCTGTGACCATAAAAGTACAATTTCACCGTATTGAAATCAGCTGAAATGTCGTTATTTTACAGATATTTGCTGTTAATTTCACTGTTTTTCCACTTTTTAAAAATAGTAATACAGCATCAGAGCTCTTTTTTTAATCATTTGATTTCTTCTGTGGATGTTTTTTTTCCTTCTGTTTGACCCTCTGGTTATTTCCAGGACTAATTGTGACTCTGGACGAGGTTCAAAGTGACTCTCAGACTGTTTACTGGTTTAAATCACTGATCAGAACTCAGATTATTCTCTGTTTATTCTCTACATTCCTTCAACTCCCACCTCGCAGAACATCTGGTTCTGGTGTTGTTGTGGTGTTGCTGTCGCCCCCTGCTGTCTGGTTCTGGTGCTGCTGTCGCCCCCTGCTGTCTGGTTCTGGTGCTGNTGCTGTCGCCCCCTGCTGTCTGGTTCTGGTGCTGCTGTCGCCCCCTGCTGTCTGGTTCTGGTGCTGTTCTGGTGTTGCTGTTGCCCCCTGCTGGCTGACCCGTGTCTCTGCTCCTGTTCCAGGTGTGTCCTGTGCTTCCAGCTGCTCACCTTCACGCTGCTGCTCGGCGGTTCCGTCTCGCCCGTCGTCGTCCAGGTGAGGAGCTCTGCTGCTGTGTTTAATGTAAACGCTGCTCCTGGTCCGGGTCCAGAACTCAGAACTCCTGAGAGCAGAGAACCCGGACCAGGATGTTTTGGAAACAGAGCTCTGATTAATTCCAGACGACGCTTCGCTGATCTGAGGAGGAATTCGACGGATGAAGGAACCTGTTGTTCTGCAGCAGAATGGTTCTGATCACAGAGCTGAGATGTACCGCACCGTACTGGGCCTCAAACACAACAAACACAGCAGCCAGAACCTTGTTGTTCTGAGAAAGGTCCACTGATACGCTCAGCAGGAAGTTTTCTTTTAGTTCCCAGAACGTGTCTGAAGACGTTCTGTAAATGTTTGGGGAACAACCTTTCAGATTATTGAGCTTTAACATTCTCAGAACCGCGTGTTGCCCCAAGA